TTCGAAAAAAATATTTATTTTCAGTTGTGAGTCAGCGCTCGTGTCGGCGATCTTCTTTCCTCAATTAGTTAGTGCTGTCGGTTGACAAAGATGAGCCCTTACCAACCTGCCTAAGTTTTTCATTTCACCAGGAATTTTATGAACAATTCGAACGCTCCGAAAAGCAAAGAGCCTGAGCATTATTTTGCGCGAAAACCACGGTTTTTCAGCGCATAGGCACTTATTTACGAGCGAAATACAACTAGCCTGGATAACTTCATGCTTGATGATTGACAGTTATTCAACAAAGATACCTGGCTTCCAGCCAGCCTCTATAAACACCTGCGGTACCAGTTGTGCCAGATACGTTCCTGGCAAGACTTGCCATGTTTTCATCTTTTGAAAGCGTTGTAAAGGGCTTTAATATTCTACCTGGCTCTCAAAGAATGCTGCAGCAACTCGACGGCTCATATGCCGCGGCAAAACTCGGACTCACTCAAAAAATATATTTCGCTCTTATATAGGGCTCACTTGGACTCCAAAATTTTCTTATAGCCGGATTTACGCTCATGAAAATTTTCTTCAGCAGAACTTGCTCGGGCTGAAGCTCACCAGAATGTTACTCACCTGGACCCACTCAGACTGAGACTCAAGGAGGAATCTGAGTCTGACTGAGTGAGTCGACTCATCAGTGATCTCGCTGACCTATGTACGTCTTATAATGCATCTTTATTTAATTTAGTATACCCACACGTCATTTTTTGCCACATAGGTAAAATAGTTAAGCGACTCACGATTTGCACGCTTTTCAGTAGATCAGTCGCGAGGAGTAGTGCATTTATGTCTAAAATGATGTAAATTAATATCAAAATATTTATTAGAGATACTACTTTGTCCAAATCATTGTGACCGAATCCGCACCCCTTATTTGTCAGTTGCCGGCATAGATTGGTGTCGACAGGGCGATGCATGTTCAACTGAACGCTAGCGCATCAATTGGGCTCACGATATACCTGTAAGAAAACCGGCAATCCGGTGCGTTTATTGGTGGAAGATGGTGATAAAAGTACGTTAGGAGGTAAGTGACGTTAATCCGGCCTGTTAGTGGTCAGAATGACAGCGCAGTGTGGCCACAAAGCAATCTGGCCACAATACAAAAAAGGAAAGTAAAAAAACTGGGGGAGGGCAAAGCATGCAGGGAAGGCTGCTTCAGCTACACTGACACCTTCCACTGACACCATTTGTTGGGTTAAGTGTTGCCTTTTTTTTCCAATTTTAGTGGACCGGTGGCAAATAGTGGGATTGAACCAATTTTCGCGGCTCATACCCGTTTTTATCATGCACCGTGACTACATGACACACCATTATGACATTGCATGCATACGAGCCGAGATGTGCTGTATGAGTGACGCTGGTGATATTTTATTTATTTATTTATTACATACTGTAGACATTTAGGTCCAAGCAGGTCGGCAGTTACAAGGGGACATAGTCGAAACAATAAATGGCATAAAGATTGTTTGGGGTGAGTGTTTCATACACTCATAGCGAACACAAGGAGTGACATAGCAAATTATTTCATAATAACGCATGTACCAGACAAAAGAAAAAGAAACACCACAAATTCATACTTCATATGTCGTGCGATTAAAGTAAAAATAAATACATAATAAATACAAAACGATAAGTCACACCGTATATGCTGTCATGGCGACTGAGACACGCTTTGAGGAAACGCGCGCTTACGGAAAGTGCGGCGTTCGAACAACTTGCGAACGCAGTCGTCGCTGTTTGCAGACAGGAAGAAAGCTGGCGAGCTGCGCGAACTTGTTTACGCAAGCTCTCTCCACGACGGCGGCATGCGAGAGACTTATCGCTCTCCGTACGCGCGCTCAAATCTCTTCAGCGATGCGTGCGCGCAGTTGTGTGACTTGCACTTGTCACTGGGTGCGCGAGAAAGTGCTGCTTACGCATATCAGCAACGACATAGTCGGCGTCCGTTCTCGCCTACACATTCTCTGAGCTTTTGTTCAAGAGGCCGCTTCGCGTAAGCTCTTAAGAAAATAGAAAAACGTGGTGGGGGGTCGTTGTGGCGAGCGCCAGGCTCTTGGAGTGAACGGACGCAGCAGACGAGGTCGGTGCAAACCAAAGAACAATACACATTTATTTAACTAATTTACAACGACGATGTCGTCCGCCGAATTGATACATCAATCGTTATCAATACGCTAGGACATCCGTACACAATATTACCGTACACTCCATGACAAACACAGTAACACGACAAACACACCATAACATGACAAACGCAATAACACACACAAGGTGGCTTCGCAACCATCTGACTTACCACGAGGGCCCCCGACGCGCGGCCCGCGGTGCCACGCGCCAAGGACCCACGCTAGAGACAACCGTTCGCGGCAACCGCCACGCGCAGAAGAGACTCGCTCAACTCTTGCCCGCCACCAAGGCTTGCCTTCCACCAGGGGTCACCACAGGCGCTACCACTGTAACAACCTTGATGATAGTGGTACTCAACGCGATCTATCGCCCGGCGGTTGCAACTCTAAATGCGGCTTTTGGGCGAGACACGTGCGCCACCTAGCGCAAACAACTTTACAAGGGGTGTCAGCACCCCCACGAAGTGATTACCTGCCACTCTCTTCGGAGAACACTGACTTACCGCGTCTACAGTTCTGTTCAAAGGTACGCGTTAATACTCTTTTGAAGAGTTGCGCCTCACACATTCTTCCAAGAGAGTATTGTGAACCTTCAAAACAGAGTCTCGGTGTATCTCCGAAGATAGCTGTAATATATAACTGCTAGGGTTTAGCATCCCAAAACCACCATATGATTATGAGAGACGCCGTAGTGCAGCGCTCCGGAAATTTCGACCACCTGGAGATCTCTATATAGCGTGCACAGAAATCTAAGTACATGGGCCCCTAGCTTCTGCCTCCATAAAAATGCGCACATAGTGGCCGGGATTCGTTCCCGAGACCTTCGGGTCAGCAGCTGAGAGCCATATATCCACTAGACTACCGTGGCAGGTGTTTAAGGAGAGTCTTTAAGGAGATTTATAAATGTGGAAAGCCAGTGTTCAGCTAAAAGAGTAACAGACGATTCTTTTTTCTTTATAGAGTGTATACGTTAACTAATATAAATCTGGCTTTGGCTGAATAATGAAATAACTCGTTCGATCTGATTTTTCTTCATTCTCTTCTTCCTTCGTTCACACGTTGCCGCTTTAGCGTAACAATATCCGCGTCACTCGAAGGTCGCCGGTTTGGTTTCTGCCCACGACAAGTTATTTTCTCACCCACTTTTCTTTCTTCAGAGTAACATTACAATTCGGTCTAATAACTTCCCCTATACTTCCCTTGGCATTATTGTCTGTTAAATCTAATTATTATTGTGTCTAACACGGGAAAACGTGCCCTTATGTATACACATCGTTCATTTATATATATATATATATATATATATATATATATATATATATATATATATATATATATATATATATATATATATATATATATATATATATATATATATGCGCGTTTCCCCTGTATATTGTTACGATGGGCTATGTTTATTCAAGGATGAATAGCGAAGGGTAGCCGCACCGTCACCGAGTTGCTTTCAAGACAGACCACTTCGTTCACTTCTTCGTTCGTTCACACGTTACCGCTTCAGCGTAACAATATTCTCGTTTTAAAGTGGGATCCCTGTTCTCTAGTTACAAGTGTTACTGTAAGAGATTTGTGTGGCGTATGTTCGACACCTGGAAGAGCTAAGGAGTAGCCGGCGCCTTACTTGCACCTAAACTTCTCCTTATATACCATGCCAATAAATATAATAAAAAGAAGGACGGTCCCCTTTCAGAGCGCGTTGAGACCCCCGACTAAGTTTCTGCGAGAGGAGCTAACGGAAACGTGGGCAGACACCGGCGATTGGCTTGTTCTTCCTCATCATCCGCTTTCAGCACCGGCTCGTCCGTTTATTTAAGAAGCGGCTTCGCAGACTTGTTATGGCTGCGAAAAGGATGCGTTCCGCGGAGGCCTGCTCCTGCAAGTGCCATCTGGCCGAGGAAACTCATTTTAGGCAAGCTGGCCTCCAACAGCTGCGCTTCCGCCATAAGACCTTACGTGGTAGCTAAACACCGCAACTTGTTATGACGATTATAACAAGAGCCATGGCGTAACTTCAGCGCAGCCTACGACTATTGCTTACGTATAATGTTGAGTTAACGAGCAACATTCGTCACAGTGATAGTGGTTTGAATCGTCGTCGTCATCATCATCATCAATATCCATAAAGAATACTTCGCTAATTCTACGACACTTTAAGGGACACTGTAGGAAAATGATGAATTAGTATATACCATGCTAAAATGCTCGTTGAAAACTTCACTGTCGTCTTTAAATTTACCATTAAAGGTTTCATGCAAGAAGAGAAGGAGAGAGAGCAAGGTTTATTTTAAAATTAAACGTCCATTGCAGTGGCGCTTTCTCGGCGCTTGCTCGCAGATGCTCAGCAACGGAAACTTTAGCATCAAAGTAAAATAGTTTATACGTGTTCTCTGACTGCAGTATGCGGAGAACGTTAACACTACATGCATAGGAAACAAAAAAATGTCCCTTTTGCGATGTCTTAACAGCTTGACGCTACTCCGTTAAGCCACTGGCACCCTTACAGAGTACAGGGTACTTCATTTTTTACAAATCAAGATCTGCTTGTTCTCTCGTACACGTCTTAAAAATCTATGACGTCACAGCGAGTTGACGCGAGAATTTCGAGGTGGCTGCGACACCTATATTGTCTATTTGCGTATTATCCCACTTACCAAGTGTTTTCTTGTGGCACTTTTGGCATTGTGAAAGGGTTATTTACAAATACGAGACAGTATTTTTCTTTTTAATGACCCTTTAACTTTGATTTTATGTCAGTAAAGCAGAGATGGTGGTGTTTACTTTTCGGTTCTAAATTAACGCCGGTGATTTTTTTCCCTTGCACAGAGTGTCGTTTGGCAGCCTCAAGGGCTCCATGGTGGAGACGCTCGTGTACCAGGACCAAGGACCCGCCCACGAACTGGCCCCACTTCTCAACGGGTGAGCTCATCTCTACATCGAGGCTTGTATATATATGCGAGAGGTACTGGGATCGATACCCAGCACCTCCACCACCTATGAGACGACGTCCGGCACGACGGTAGCCCGGTTATATTTCGATCCCGACGAGTCAGACCAAAAGCGGTCCAGCACGCGTAACAAATGGTGTTGATCATTGTAATGATATGGTTATTCATATGAAGATGAAGTACGTACATAGTCAGCGCTCACAATATATATACACGGCTGTTGCTCATTTCGTGAAGCAATGATGGAACGAAATATTTAGGTGCACGGCTCAACGACAAAGATTGGAGTGCAAGAGGAACGAGAATACATTTCAATATTAAAAGTACTGTATAAGATATGTTTTTTTTTTTTGATGTTGCAGAAGCTGCATCCAACGTATCTCACACTGTGCATCAATAACAAATATAGCTCATGATTACTTTACCTGCGAGCACTGGAAAAATATTTCTACCATATTCGCGGCGATGCTGTGACCTCCCAAAATGTTTGCCCACGAAGAATGTTTGCCCGCTGGCGACTGCACCTGTACGTAGTGTGTCCAATTACCTCTGTTTTCTTTCTTCGAGTATTTTGTTGATTGATTCAGTATTGATTTCGCGGTGTCGGGATAGGCGTTTCTCATGCAGCCTTCTTTTGCGTGTTATCACCACGAAAAAAATTTATTAATGAGAAAGAGGTTACTTGATGTTAAAGTTAGTCTCGAGATTCCGAAGATGTTAACGTCCGAATAACCACCGACGTTGTTTATCGATGGTGGAACTTTGAGAAAAAAAAAATGTCACCTGTAAACACCTACAGATGTGCTTTTCTGACAACCACTTTAGACATCGTTTGATTGTGGAATTTCGTGTTCTGGTGTGAATAATGACTCGATGAAACACGATAGATGAGACACTTGATTCTTACACCGACGTGTGTATCCCACACACCGAGTGTTTGTCTGTGGATGCTGTGAACAGCAGGCTGGAACAACAAAAAACTTCAGTTAGAAAGACGCAAAAGCAGGAATGCTGCAATGCGACGTGAAATATAAAATACTGAGAGGACTGCGGATGCAACAGACATTGTTTTCAATGCTTGTGATAGGTGATTGTGGAATTTCGTATGCTGGTGTGAATAGTGACTCGATGAAACACGATAGACGAAGGATTGACGTATAGTAAGTGGAACTCCCACAACCCTCAGCTCATCGAGTAGTATAATTCGTCGGCGGTGTAGTAATTCATAGACGATTCTTCGCTCTTCCTCCTCTGGAATCTGTCGCACACGTTCGCGTTCCGTGATTTAAAGGCTATCACGTGCAGCCATCAGTGTTCGCGCGTTTCTCGGAATGCGGACGCACGGCGGCGAGCGTGACGAATGACACGCTTCGCCTTATACTCGCCGACGCGTGAGCAGCTGCTCGGCCATGTGTGCGGCCGCTCGGTGAGATGACCACGGCAGGAGAACCGTCAAGGTTACCTGCACGGACATGTGCTCCCAGAAGAACGAACTGTTTTTGGGGCACATTCAAAAAACAAACAAAGAAAAAGGATGTGTGATTTATTTCGTATTTATATTTCCAAGCCTATACATACCCGTCACAGTGGTGGCCAAGTCGCTCGGCGTCTGACCCGCAGGTCGCGGAATCGAATCCCGGCTGCTGCGGCTGCATTTCCGATGCAGGCGGAAATGGTGTAGACCCGTCTGCTCATATTTGGGCGCACGTTAAAGAACCCCGGGTGGTCGAAATTTCCGCAGCCCTTCCCTACGGCGTCTCTCATAATCATATGGTAGTTTTTGGAAGTTCAACCACAACGATTATTATTATCAAAGCCTATATGCCACACTCTTTTAGTGACCCTACCCCCTTGAGTATACCTGTGCTTATAACTGTCACAAAGTAATTACTTACAAGGTGTTACCGGCAGTCATATGACCGCTTATGAACGTGACTGGTCCCAACCGCGAGGGCTACCTTGACACACCTGTGTTACGAATTCCATAATAATTGTTGGGGTTAGCATCCTAAAACCAAGATGTGATTACGGGAAACGCCATATTGAAGGGCTCCGGAAACTCCTACCACCTAAATTACATGGGTCTCAAGCACTTCTGTCATCGACGAAAATGCGACCTCCGCAGTCGGGATTCAATCGCGCGACCTGCGGGTCGGCAGTCCATCGCGTCATTACCACTCGACCACCTCGGAGGGTGTTTAGAAATTGTGGACGCAAAAATTCTAATGAGCAGCTACTGATGACGAGAAGTCGTTGGAGAAGTCCACAAGTGTTGAAAATGCGGGTGAGTTGGTTCGTCATACTTGAACTGGTAAAGCGCGTTACCGGAAAAAAAATTAAATGGCCGAACAGAGCGCTCTGTCTTCTTGTGTCAGTCTGCTCAGCAATTTATTCTTCACGGTAATGCGCCATATATACCAGTTGGTAGGGAGAAGATTGCTTCTTGAACAGCATTACTAATTGCTTCATTTACAGATTTACTATAAACAGGCTATAACGTGTCTAAGCGCATGATATTACTCACACTGTGAAAGGCACCGCACTCGACATCCTTCGCCAAGTGCGGTGTCTATCTGCTGACATCCCTAATTTTTTGGGACCACAAAATCAGTATGGGCAAGTCAGTACTGTTCAGCTCATGGCTAGTGCATATCGGCAGTCCCCACATCTCTTCTGACACGCTTGCAGGTCGCGCCTCTCGGAGTGCGAAAGGCTCCGCAACATTGTACAGCATCACAACATTATACATTCCACTGGAGTCGGCGTCGGGCGCATCAAAAGACCACCAGTGAACGCGGGCAGTTTAGCTTGACAATCACAATATGGGAGTCCGAAAACGCTGTTCGACGACTCCGAAAACACTGCTCACATTCCGCTGCGCGACGCCACCGGCCTTACAGTTATACGATAGATTTGAAAAACCATGGCCCACTTTTTTCTTTCCTGACCACGCCATCTCAGCCGGCCGTTTCTGTGCTGTCCAGTGAGAGAACGTGCGCATAAGCATACAGCTACAATGGCAGCGGACCGCGAAGCAACTATAGACGCATACACGCATGAAATGGGCGTGTCTACGATCCACCTGACAGCGCGGCAACAAGCGCACGCATCAGGAAATTAAGGGCAACCACTGAAGGCGACTTGAGTGCAGCTTGTCGGAAAAATTGGACGGGATTACGTAACTCGGCTAAAAAAAATAAAATAAAAGCTGAAGGAAAATATACGCTCAAGGCAAGTTTCTAAGTAATTGTAAGTATATACACGCTCTGCAAGGCGCGTTCAGCAGTTGCGGACGCTCCGTTTAAAGTCGGCCGCGCGCTCCTAACACGCTAAAACATCCCATTAAGTTTTACTACTCGGTTAACTAAAGGTCGCACGTGTTTTCCACGCGAATTATTAGCAAACCGCCGAAAGAGACTAAATATAATTCAACGAGAACAACTATTGTGTGGGCGTCTGTTATTTATTTCGTCCTCATCCCTGCATGACCATAATCACCATCATCCACTTGTATATCTCATTGTCACCGCGTGTCATTATCATCGTCATCGTCTGGGTGCAGGCTCTGCCCGTTCGTTTTCCGAGGTCTTGCCTCGAATAAACGCCGTCGCAACCAAGACCTCCTAATACTAATAACTATAGTGGTTATCCGTATGCCGGGGACGGGAGAAAAATTAAGACGACGGCTCAGTGCCCATGAACTTCGTCACAGTTCACTGCTTATCAGTATAATACCCGAAGAAGAAAAAACAAATATACATCACTCTGAAAGTCAAGTGACTATCGAAGGAACAAGCAGAGGCCTATGAAGGAAGTCGACCGACAAGACTTGATTACGAACTATACAGGGACTATAGCTATGCGAACACTGCACCGTTTTAGCCGGACAGACTACACGCATCCAGGTGGGATGATTGCGTCGTGTGTTGTGCTTGTCACCTGTCGCGTCCAGCGCGCGTCGTGCGATGTTTCGTGCACAGCCGAGCAGCGCACGGAGCGCAGAATTTCGTGACGCGCCGCCAAAACAACGACAACAACGCTGAAGACCACGACGCCAACGAAGAAAGAGGCAACAACAAAAAAGGGACGAGAGACAACGCCCACATGTGTGTACACGGCGCTGCACGCGTGGCGGGCTTGATTTCTATTTGAGTTGTATGCTGCTTTTTTTGTTTGTTTGTCTCACTAGTGGACGAATCGCGCAGAAGCAGCAGTCTGATTGCCGTCTTGCGTGTTCCGCACTGCCAACCTTGTCTTCCAAACTGCGAGTTACGAGCGATTGCAGAGCGAGAGGGGGAGGGAGAGAGGCGCTATATGTGCAGTCTTAGGGGAGAGAGCGAAGACGCGGCAAGGACGCCGCCACTCTCGGCGGTGTGCGGGAGCAGGCCACCGATTTCCTTGTGCGAGCACGAGAGACGTACGTTTCGGTCGCTTCTCTTTAATCCACCCCGCTGCACGCGCGAACCAAGCAAAAAAAAAAAACAACAATAATAATAATAATAATAATAATAATATCTAGAAAGAAGTGCACGTAAAAGCACGTGTCCGGGTTCTTTCTTTCCTGTTTTGCCTCCTCCTTTATTACCAGGCGCGCGCGAACCGGAAGATAAGCGTTGCACTGTATACGTGCCAGCCAGCATCGTATATGCGATGGGCGTTGGATCTGAGGAATGAGACGGCCCCCTCGTTAATTTGTAACGACGATAATCGGTGATCGATCACCAGCAGGTCCGTTATTAATCACTACCGGTCAATTCCACTCGACCAATCAATTCAAGGCGCAGGATCATCAGGAACTCACGAAGTGTGGAGAAGCCGTTGAAGTTAAGCGCTGAAAGAGTGAACAGAGGGAGAGAGAGAAATCTAAATAGATATAAATATAGAAATAGATAGATAGCGGAGCGGAAGTAGGCGCGTGCGCATGAGTAAATATGAACGTCCGTGCATTTCCAAGTGCGGTGGTATAGCCGT